AACCCTCGAGTAACTTTGCAAGAAATTCAACAAACAAACAAAGTCTTCATACTTTCAAATTCAATGACGAGGAACCCACTTTGAGACCTGATGATGACAAAACCTTGTCGAAACGTTGTACATTTGCTGTTATATTAAAGTTTTTCTTCATTACCCATTCAAGCCGTCTCCAGCCATTATTAGTCTTCATACTTTGTTGTATTGCCAGGCCATTAACCTTATAAAAAAGAAGATATATGTTTTAAATGTCGCTCAATCACAGTATTGTCTAAGCCAAAACATCATATCTTTTGCTTAATTAACTTGTTACAATTGTGGTCTAAAGTGGGGGAGGATTTCTTTCCCCAGTGGAGTACGTACTGCCACTAATAACACTTCTGAGGTTTACTCCGCCGTGACGTTTCAAAGGGCATTGGAATATACAACCAGAAGAAGCTACTAAGTCCAATCACACAGCTGCTTCCCACAGATCAATTGATGTTTCTATGGTAACGAGGTCGGTGTCGTCGTGTATGTCTTGTCAGGTGCGTGACACTTCGGCCACACAGAATGTATGCGAAGGGAAAAGACTCAACGGTACCATCCGATCCTCAGGCAAGAGAAAAGTGAGCTTTATGTTTCAACACTTTAGTTTAGACTTATGGCGTCACTTAGATTTATTGTCAAACAATATTCATAGAAATTGTTAGTTATTCGGTTAATTTGAAGTATATACTAAATATACAAAGTTGTTGCCGATTTACTAAAAGATGTATAGTTTTGTTGATAATTGATAACATCTTGTTTGTATAGTATATAATCATTTGTATGTTGATATCTGAAGTAATAAGGTTATTTTTGCTTAAGTAAAATATTTTGTAATAGGCTTCTGGTTATACTTCTGAAGTAACACAGTCTAAATCAGATAGAGCCTAAAATTTTAAGTCGAATAACAAATTTCGTTTTATGAAAGAACAACAGGCTGTAACTCCAGTCTGAGGTATTTGGCATAGCGCATTCCATGTAAGGATAATAGGGGTGTAGTTGGTGATTTTTTTTACATACTTTTTGTTTGTTTGGTTTCAGATTAGCCCTGTATGTCTATGAATATTTATTACATGTTGGAGCTCAGAAGGCAGCCCAAACTTTCCTGTCTGAGGTAAATTTTTCTTTTAGTAGTTTGCACGTGAACAGGGCAATAGTATCTAGTGGTTACGTCCGGCACGACTCGTGCTTCCATGTGAACGATGATCGTTTACGACACACACACTGATACAGCACATGTTACATCGTGAAGAAAATTAGGCTTAACAATATTATTTCGTAGCACCATACAAGTAGCAAAAGTACTTACATTTGTAAATTTATAGTTTTCCGAGCTTTTTCCACAAAATATAAGATTATTTTAAGATTATACTTAATAAACTATACAACGATAAAACTGTATTCTTTGATATTATTATTTGTATATTTGCAGGTTTGCTGCATTAAACAAATCGTGCATATTATTCAAAATAATATATACATACAAGACAACTTTTTTCTGTAATTTTATAAAAATACAGAAATTCGAAAATTAAATCTGGTTTTATAGTATTCTATTTTAAATCATTATATGCTTTAAGTCTTACTTTTACCTAGTTATACTTATAGCTTGTCTTAACTTAGTTACTAATAGTAATACATTAGGCTATCTTTTTTATCAGTATCACTCAACATTAAAATTTGACAGTTTTCAGGCAGTATTAATTCTTATAAGTTGCAGTGGGGATTACTACTTGTAATAGTAGTATTTATGTTGTAACACAGTTGAAAGTATCAAAATAGTGTAGACTTAAAGTTAAAAACTTTTATTTACATTTCACATGAAGTTAAAGATGTTTGTCATTAGGCTTATCCGAATACTGACTTAACTGTTTTATTTTTGTCCACTGTATAAATATATCATACCAAAGACAGTTTCAGAAACAAGTAACATATGTATTGTAACATTTTGAATTTGAGATACAGAAGTGTGTTAACAAATAAATGCTAATGTTTATCTTATATAAGACCAGTATATTTCGTTTTCAGAAACAATTAATAATTTAATCTTGACTTATTTTGGTAATGTTTAAAACTTTAATACAGATGCCTCTGGTATGTATAGTTTGTTCTCACACTGTTTTCAAAGTGGCAGTCCTTGGTTAGTACCTTTGTTAATGCAAGTTAATGAAATACAGCTAGTTAAAATAAAGGTAATGTACTCTTGTACAGGTGTTATAAATACTGAAGATGTAGGTAGGTTATGATATAAGACTTTTGAAATGATGTACCTGTAATTTCATTGTCTGACCTGTTTGATTGGGCATTATTTACTGCTGTTTGTTTCTAGATAAGATGGGAAAAAAACATAACATTAGGAGAACCTCCAGGGTTTTTACATTCATGGTGGTGGTAAGTAAATATTCACTAATTATCTATAAAATATAAGACAAAACAGAAAAGCTTTTATATTTAGAGTATTATGTTTATACCAGTATATTAAGAAATGCAAGACAAAGAAAATTAATACTTACAGAATAATTTTTGTTTTATTTACATTTATGTAAATAACACAAAAATTAATTAGTTTCTTTTTTTTAAGAGCATTTTGGTGTAACTTTCATGCTAACTTGTAACAGACCAGTAGTAGGGTTCCATTAGATGTGAAGAGTGACATTTACCGATGTGGGTTATGAATCTAGAACATTTAATTATTTGAATCAGTGACTTATCATTTACACTACCTAAAATCAAGCTAAAGGTTAGTCATACTAAAAAGTTAACTGTTATAATGTTCCATCTTACATCCAACTAAAGTTTGTTTTGTAGCATCCTAAATCCAGTAATGGTGTTGAGTCATAACATTTATTGATTTACAGCCTCCTTCATAAACAATGTCTGGAGGAAGTTTAAAAGTTAATCATGAATTATTTCCACTGCATTAACAAAAAATAATTTGTTCTTGTCTGTTACATTTTATCTTAGTTTTTAAGAGTTTTTTTCTTGGTCTCTGTACACAATGTTTCAGATTAGTATTATTTTTAAAAATAAAGTGCCTGGAACAGAGAAAATCCTGCTTTATTTCATTGCATAGACATGTGCTAATAATAATGTATTTGATATAGATAAAATGTTATTTACTTTGATAACTAAAGTTACTATTATTTTATCCAATCTCTTAAGTCGAAACCAGAACCACTGATATTGCTGTCATAATGACCAAAGTAAAAACTGCTGGCATTTGTGTAACAGTATTGTCTACATTATGAAAGTTTCCAGAATTTTGTCACAGAAAGGTTGTAATTTGGCATTAATAGATGCAATGTTAGTGTTTATTCTATATTGCCACAAAATTTTATATGTAGATTTTGTCAAAGGCAAAATATTCATATAAAAGATCTCTTTTTTCACAAAAAATTGATATTTAAGTTATTTCAATAATTAAGATGTCAGAATATTTATCACTACATAAAAAAGGTAAGCCAATATGTTGATATTCTTCCAGTCATTAGCTGTCAAGAACCATATTTCTTCTATAGCAGAGACAGCTAATTTGGGTATTTAAAAACTTTTATTTAGAAACACAATAAAAGCTTTTTAATACCCATATCAGCCATCTCTGCTCTAGATTTACTTCGAGGGTTCTTTGACTTGACATCGTGATTAATAGTTCTTGTTATGAAATTGCAAGGATGTTCTTTGTGTTGTTTACATTAAGAAACATTTGAGGGTATTAGTTGTTGTCCAAGATATCCTTCTATGAATTCCATGCATTTTAACAATTGTGATTGAAACTGTGAAGTAAGTGTTGTTTCTTTCACAGATACACCATATGCATAACAGGTCTAGTATTGTCTGTGTCACAGTTGCAATTTATTTATTTTCTGTAGAAGAAATGGAAATTAATTTTCCAGAATTAAAAGTCATATATTTAGAAGTATCATTGTATCTTTTTAGTAGTCTAAAGCAAATCATCTGCTTTAGAATTTTGCTATAAATATTGCTCATTCTGTTTTAATTATTTGCTCATTAATTTTCCTCCAAATTTAATCAAAAATATTTTTGATTCACTTAACCCTCTTGAATAGTAAAATTATATTTGTGGTTTGATATACTGTAAGAAAAAAAATAAGTAAAAAAATGTTTAAAACCTTTCTTATGTAACATTGTTGGTTGTAAGGCGGATAATACAAGTCTTAGGCATTTACTGTATTAATGCTATTGAAATCATGGAGAAAAAGTAAAGATATTTATAAATATACCTAAATCATTATGTAGTTGTAAAATAAATGTAACAAATTCTCAACTTATTGTACATTTATGCTAACACATCAATAAACAATGTATACATATGTATAGTGCTACTTAGCAGTGTTGCACTTAATTCTTATAGGATTGAAGGCCCACTCACAGATGTTTCTCAAAAGTAAAACTTAGGTGTTTGTGTTTTAAAATTACACTTCCTCCAGGGTTATAATTCTAAACTAAGTTAAGTCAACTTGAGTTACAGTTCAAACACAGATGGAGCTGTGTCTATCCCATGTAGGAATATGACACTCCTAACAATGATTTTATTATTATTTGAATATTAACTGACAGTATTAATAATTCTTCTCACCCGAACTTATGCTCACTTTTATATAATAATAGGCCACTTTTAAATAACAGTTTCTGTTATTTGTTTTTGACATAGTATTTTGAACATCCTTCAACATCTAGTCTAGGCTTACTGATTAGTCTTGACAGTCCGATAACTACATTCATTGAAATTTGTGACCATTCTTCTCACCCACATTTACAGTCGATATAATTGTATTAATATGTAACCTATACAATCCAGTTGGTTTAATTAGTTCAATAGTTATTGAATTTGCTTCCATACTAAGAAAGCTCACAAAGAAACTAAGTTTACAATACCTATTCTCAGAACAAGAGGCTTTCTATTAATACAGGAACACCTAAATACACAATAATAAAACATAAATAATAACTAATAGAACCAGAAGAGAGTTCAAGAGATTGTGCTAAGTAAAGGACTAACTTTTGTTACAACACACAAAACAACACCCACAAATAAGAATTGAGATTTAAAATGAAATCAATAGTCTAGAAATTCAAAAATCTACTAAAACACTTGACTAATAGGAAGAACTGCCCTCATGGACCTAAAGTAAGACACCAACATAACAACTGTACCAGCATGCAAGAGCCATTCCACAGTATTTGTGGACAAAGAAGAAAATAACAACATAATTATAGTATTTTGGCACTTGTGTATAAAGTTAAATTCATAAATAATATTCAATGTTAAACTGGTACACAATTAAAAACGTTTTATTTAGGCCTATCCATGGCCTTCAAAAAGTTGATGACTCTACACGTTTCGACGTTACAACGTCATCATGTAACATCAAAACATGTAGAGTCGTCAACTTTTTGAAGGCCATAGATAGGCCTAAATAAAATGTTTTTAGTTGTGTACCAGTATAAGGTTGTATATTATTTATGATTTTAAATACCAACATATTTCAAACTCTAACTGACAATTGCAGTTATAAGAATATGTAGTCTAACCCTACAAATAAAACAGAGAAAGAGTTAACCATCTTCTCAAGAAATATCTTGAAGTCTGGGAACATAACAGTCACACAGCTAAGTGTACTCCACCTGACATGTCAATGGCCTACAGAAAATTCTCAAAAAGGCTATCCTATCTCTTCTAAAGTTAACTGTAGAGATACACCATGCTACAACCTAACCAGATATGTATGTAATTCTCTATTAAAAACAATTACAGTAATCTTACATAATACAATGATTAGTCTTTTTATGTTTAACCTTTTCACTATCCGAGTTTGAAGCACTAAAGATACCCCTCCAGCAACTTGAATTTTGGCAGAACCCTAAAAAAAAGTTTAAAGAATATTAGAACTCATAACTTTCTGTATCAACATAATTATTTCCAACCTGAAGAAAAACACAATCAACAATAAGAAGCCCTAATTATTGGCTCTCTCTTATTACTAGTATTCAGTAGCCTCTACCTGGAACACTTCATAAAAAAGCTCTAAGAATACACACTACAGACAAAATTTAATACAGGTTTCATGAACTATGTGAAAAGACAACATGCATCAATACAGTTTACAATAGAAAAAGACAAGCTCCTCCCAATCATAGATGTGATGGTCACCAAAACACATAACACATATACCATAGGAGTTTACATAAATTCACCAGGTAAAGGTAATTACCACAATTATTACCTTTTCTATAGAATGAACAAAATTGCAATACAGAAGGTACTGAAACAAATGAAGGATAACACCTCACTACAACTGTCTTTGACAGTAGATACCCTGAATACTTAATAAGGAAGAATATAAAGAAAATAACATGCAAGTTTCTTTATTGGTCTGTGGTCTTCCAGTTGAATTTAGATCAGAGATGTCATGAAGCAGAACCAGCTTTCTTCCATTTGAAGAATGCTCCATCTGGCCTTGAGCACTACAGTATTTGTTTGCTTCACTTTCTATACTCTGACAGGATTTTGGCCTTTCCCTAACACACTGGCTGAGTGGGTATTTTTATAGTGACACCATACTCGCAGTATTTCACTAACTGAAATAGTTACTGATTCTTTTGCCTACTGATATGTTAACTCTGACTGTCAATTTCACTACTGTTTCAAAAACATTTCTCTCACCGGAACCTCTTGGAATTTTCTCTGAATGTTACCACTAGACCTCACCATCTGTGTAAAAATGGACCGACAGACAGTTCACAGGCCCCAGGTACACCGGGGAATTAGGTGAAAGGGAGCAGAGCCTTAGAATACAGACGGGTCGAGTGGGTGACCAATTTACCCTTGAGCACCAGCTATCCTGAGGGACATCTTTGGTCTAAGTGAAATTAAAAGAATTGGTGAAGGTCTAGTAGAAATGAAAGAAGTATGGATATATGAGGCGAGGAAGACAAATATATGACCAACTATCATGACACAGATACCATCAAAATTGAGAATGAAGAAATAGATAGTGTCAAGAGTATAAATTTTTAGGACAAACTCTCAAAATGGAAAACACAACAAGGGAAGAAATTATGGTAAAAAGTAAAGACAACATGGTGATGTTTTGGAATGCATAAATAAATTCTAGAGGATCAAGATATCCCCATTACTTTGAAGAAAAAGATCATTGATCAGTGTGTACTACCAACCTTAAGATATGACTACCAAATATGGGCACTAACAAAGGAGATAAGGAAAAAGATAGAAACCACACAAAGAACTATGGAAAGAAAAATACTTCATATAATACTATAAGACAGATGGAGAAATGACAGAATAAGAAAAACAACAAATATAATAGATGCAGTAAGGTTCATTCTAAGAACTAAATGGAAATGGGCTGGGCATGTAGCAAGGTATTTTGATAATAGGTGGACATTAAGAACAATGGAATGGCAACCTAGGACAGGGAAAAGATCTAAGGGAAGGCTAAAGAGAAAATGGAGGGACGATATAGTGGCGGAAGCAGGAATCAGATGGACACAGTATGCTAAGAATAGGAAATACTGGACTGGTCTGATGGAGAGCTACGTCCAACGAGGGATGACTACAGCTTAGATAGATATAAAGAAAATGAATGCAAAAAAATAGAAAAAAATTATAATCTTATATCCTTACTTATCTATGGCAAATTTCTCTCAGAAAACATTCAAAGGATTTATAATGCTTGGAGACAGCTTAAAATGGGTAATGAAGAAAAACTTTAATGTAAGTTTAACATAATAGCAAATATACAACATTTCGACAATATTTTGTCATCATCAGGTACCTCCAAGCTCTCCAAGCATTATTAGTCTCAAAGTGTGTTCCTCATCTTCGAATTAAAAGGATTTACAAACAACATAAAGGGAAAAAATCTCTAGAAGTCACCATACAATTTGAATTAGCTGAAAACTAAAACACCTAAAGGCCCAGTGGAGTGTAAGTGTAAACTTCAGTATACTGGAGAAGCAAACAAACAAAAGTCAGTATTTAAGAGCACAAAATATTTATAAAAGACTGTACTATATGATGTGCAGGCATATCATATGTTTTCCACCATCTTCATTAATATAGGAATTTTTAAATTTTTTTGCTTGGTTTGATTCTATGCTATTTTGACATAAACATGTGGTCCAAAAATCCATTGAAATTGTTTTGTTCTAGTTGCCTTTGTGTCTTTGTTGTTCTGTAACAGATAGTATCTACTTTGCCAGCAGGGATGTTGCTATAACTTCAGTTTTTGTATTGATATAGGTCATTGACAGCAATACCCTTCATTGGTCAAATTGATGATACTAGAGGTTACTGCCTTTATATGTTGTACTAAAATGACCAGTCATGTGGTGATACATAGCATACTTGAATAGAACCAAGATTTTCTGTTTTCATAAGGAGTCTTAGTTCAGACAGAGTTCTGCTTGATGTACAGTGTGGATAGTTCTCCAGATATTAATCTTAAGAAAATACAACTACCAATCAATTCACTGATCCAGTAGTAAACAATTGTTGAAGTGCTTACACAAGTACACACACTTTTATTTTGCTTTGTCTTATAATAGACTGCTTACACTTTTCATCATGAGTCCAGTCTATGTATTTCTCATACCATAGTAAACTTGGTTGTTTAGTTAAACATAGATTACTTTGAAATTTTCCTGCTCTATCCTCACATTATTAAGTGGATCTGTGTGATGCTTGCATTGAAATCAGTTTACATGAGGCTGACACAACTATAATACTGATACATTGCAGTAGGCTTCATATGTAAAAAGTTGTCACTTAATTATGTGAAATCATGTTAAAATAATGGGATTTGAATCACAGACAAAAAAAATGAAAGATTTAAGAAGCATTCAACATCCAGTTAACTAATGTAACATTTGGTCAATGTAACATCAAAGTCAGCAAAACCTGAATACTTCTTTTAAAAGCTCTCATTTAGTCAAATCATAGGCCCAATGGGGGTCACAGCTCAGATTAATAGAGAGTTCACCTGTATTTCTGTCAAGAATACCTAGGCTCAAATCTCATTTCATACTACTATAAGCACTATTTATCAAGACACACAAAAATAGCAGCTGAGGCATAGAGCAAAAATTAACTGATGATTAAACTTAGGTGATTGTGTAGACTTCTAACCACTTTTACAATATCTGATAACCACAACCTTGTCATAAGTTTCCAACACATAACTGTATTTTAAGCATTATTTAATTTCATTTTAAAGTAACATGACTTTCTTATATACTGCTACAAGGAAAACATTTATATTTAGTGTTCTGCTTTTGAACAGTGTCAGTACTATGTTTGTAATGACAAAGTTGGATGGGTCAACATGTTAGTATAGAAAATATGAGAACAGTCAAATGTTGACAGCAGTATCCACAGTGATCTTGGAAATCATAATTATCATCTTAAATATTACTCTATCAGAATGGAAGTGTGCATTAACCACCTTCTAGGCACTAATCTAATATGCTGAAATTTGTTTTTGAGTACTAGTAAGTTGATGTGGTATTACATTGTGTGAATACATTATAACATCATATTTCTTTCTTTCCACTTTAATTTCACTTTTTTTTAATTAGATTAAACTATAGGCTTTTCTAGCACATTCCAGAATTGAAAGGAACTGCTTTGTTGAAGAAGGTCAACTTGCTGACATGTATTTGAAGGACATTTCTCTCCCACTTGAAATATTATATGGCCGTTACCATCTACAAATATTTGTAATGTAACACATGTACAAAATTTTGTGGTTCAGTTTGTGAAAGTTATAGCCGCATCAAAAACTAAACTTGTACAATCATTGCCTTAATTAATTGCCAGAATTAGCATGCCATTTCTTTATAATAATTTTAACAGGTTCAGTCTTTAAGCATAAGATTTTAAGAATTTAATATCAGAGACAAATAACATATAAACATGCTTTTTTATCATTATTTTTCCTTAGTAATGTGTTTGATAAAATAGTCATGTACTATAAGTCGAGTACAGAGACACACTTATTTCTAATTTGTCCTCTTTAGAATTTGTTTATTAATAATTATTTGCCATCTAGTTATACAAAAGTGGAATACATTTGCATATTTTTTCAGCTAACATCCAATGTTTTTTAGGTATATATATGTCTGAATAATTGCCTTGTATTTTCATAAATGTTAAAGTTCATTTTCCTTCTCATAGTGTCTTTTGGGATCTTTATTGTGCAGCACCAGAAAGGCGAGAAACGTGTGAACATTCAACTGAAGGAAAAGCCTTTCATGACTATGTAGGTTACTATTGTTTTAGATTTTTGAGATCACTGAAGCATCTGATAGCTGTGTAGTTCAGCATTTGAGTCCAGGTTACAGCTAAGATGATATGTCAGTAAAAACAAGTAAAAGTTTCTTTGATAGATTGTTTAGGCAGAGTATTCGTGATGAGTTCACTGGAATGGACAGCAACCACCTGTTGTAGAAAAAAAACAAGATGAAAGACGGAGGACTTTCAAAAATGTCTTCCTCTATACTTGTGTTTTTTCTACAACAGGTGGTTGCTGTCCATTCTAGTGTGCTCAATAATAAAATTGATATTTTTATATGTTTTTGTAAATTAAAGGATTTAGTTCAGATTTGGAGAATGGACTCGGGCCCTTCATATTGAAAAAACAAAGTATTTACAATTATAAAGTTAACTTGGGGTTTATATTGCGAACAAAATTTTATGAAATAGAGGTTTGAATCATAAGAGTGCTTTACAGGAAAATGTTTGTATTTAATTAAAAATACTCAATTTTGGAAAACTAACTGCAACATTATGAATGATTTAATAACTGACAGTATTGGAGTTGGAGTTTGGGTTTTTTATTGATAAAAACAGTTTTGATGTCAAAATTAAAAACTAAAGTAATTTTTAGTAACAATCAAATCTAAATTTTTATCAAACCAAATGTCATTAGAATTATCAATACAAAGACATTGTGACAAAATTTTGATTAAAGCATTTGGTACCTTTAATTGGAGTTATGTTTTTTAGGTATTACTATTAAGTAACTTAGCAACTTTCTTAAATGGTGATATGCTTATGAAAACTTCCAGGTTTTACCATATTGTAACTAGAACCAGAATATTTCTTTATTAAAATATGTTAAGGAATAGATTTCACAATATTTCATTGAGGTGTTATACAAATAGTTAGTGACCTTGTGAAAGGACGTAAGTGGTCTTAAACGTGCATTCATCCTTGCCTCAGGCTAAGTTACATACAAAGTTAGGCATTCCACAGAACTTATAACTTGATTGGATATGCTTGCTTCTATGCCATTGTTGCTGTGAGATGAGGATCATACTTAAGTAGAAGTGTGTTACAGAGATTTCTACAATTTCAGTGTGAGTGGGGAATTAGTCTCCCTCTGAGAATGTACAGTGAAAATTATTGGTATATGATTGTGGGATACCATATGAGGACTTTGTCTGATTTGAAAGCATAGTATAGATGCAATCCTTTCTGTTTTCAGTGTGTAAAGAAGTCTGGTACCCTCTCTCTGTTTCAACAACCATGTTGTGTTAATGAGACTGTTTAGTATTGAAGTATGATCCAAATATGCCTTTTTTCATCTTGTATGATACAGATTTTGTCTTTTATACATGCAAGAGTTTGAATCTTTCTTTTACCATCAGTGTTCATTTTATTCACTCCCAAACAAGGCCTTTCAACTTTCTCATTATTGCAATATTTAGTACTTACTTGTTGGTTCCAGTTCTAACTGCAAATATCACAGACTTAAATTATTAAGTTATTATTTTGTTTTTGTATTTTGTAGAGTTTATTTTATATGTGCTTCTTTGTTCAATGTTACTGTCTGGTTACAGAAAATTTTGTAATTCATGATTATGTAAGGGTTATCTCTGAGACTGTGGAGAACTCATTGTGGATAAGAAGAAACTTCAATTGAGGTGAGGCACAATTTAAGAGTGCAGCAAGGACTAGGAGAGGCTTTCTTCTGAACCAAGGATTTTTTTTTTACTAGCCGTGTTAGAGCTGTATGTGCATTTCTGATCTGTCCTTGAGACCAAAAAGTTAAGAGTCGTTATGAGGAACCATGACTGTTGCCTCAACTTCTCCTCTATTGGACCTTAATGGGCATCCTATAAATGCTTAAAGTGGTCTCTATGGGATACCTAGGTATATATTGACTAGCTCAGACATTGCCATTCACTAGTCAGAACCACATCTGAATTCATGGGAAGATGAGATGTGTATAATTATCAGGAAGAGCTGAAATGCTATCAAACAGAACAGCCAGCATTGTACTGCAATCCTACAGATCCTTGGGCCAGTCAGGAGCCTTCCAGGCTTGCAATACATTAATGACATCCTGAAAATGTAATTTGTGAGGTGGATACAAAATGGTATGACATCAAGTATTCCTGCACATTGCAATGTTCTGCTGTTGATCTCATCTGAGGATACCAAATTTCTTTTAATATACATCTTTAAACTTATGGAGTAAGGAGAGCCTCTCTTAATTACTGATGGTTGTTGAGGTAAAGCAGGCTAGCCCATTAATATTTAAAGGGATAGTGAAGGAGGATTTGAACCATTTCCTCAAATGTTTCAGGTCGATTATATCCTGTATGGTTAGACTCAGGAGCAGGTGGTGCAATGTCTGATGGTGAGTCTGGACAGTTCAGTGCTCGGTGCCCTAGAGCTCTTTCTATGTGGAGTAGTAGCTCAATGACAAGAACATGGTCAGTGTTGAGACATGTTACAAATTCAACCATATGGAGAACTGAGGGATTTGTAAGGCCAAGTTTGAGGTTCAAAGGCATGGGTTCTATGAGAACTTGGCTACTTACAAAAACAATTTGAAGAGATGGGAGGGGAAGGTTTTCCCAAACATATCAACCAAATGAGTCTCAAGGACATTTTATCTGTGATTGAGGCTATATCTGTGGCATTGTTGTTCAAAGTGATTATATTAACCTGAATACTGCAATCAGAGAAGAAGCTGCCAGCCGTTGCAAAAGTGGCTGATTCTGCTCCTTAACAATCTCAAGGGTCAGCAGTAACTATCAAAACTTGAATAAAAGTCAAACAACATCTTCACAGTTTAGATTAAACACTTGTCATTTGCAATTAATTTTTCATTTAGGCAAAAAATAAAATAAAATTTGTCATTATGGCTAATTGAAAAAATAATGACGAAATGAATGCAGCATAGATTGGGCACTTGCAAATCATTTTCACACAATGTATAGTTATATCATAATTACTGTATGCAATCATAGGCTATGTTAATATCAATTTCATGTCAGACAAATTAAGAAAAACAAACAATAATAAAGTCCTAGCATATACAAGTCTGCTATGGTGTACTAAACAGTATGGTGCCTAAAATGGCATCAAACAAGTGTAATTGATCGTACTCAACACTGTACAGTTCTGCCAATCACAACTTCATTTTTTTCATATTTAGGTTAAATATGCATTTACAAAATCTTGTAAATAAACTATTTTACTAGTAAATGTTACATGCCATGAAATGAATAAAAGCCAGTTGTGTTTATGATAATTTGTGTAGATATGATAATTACTGTCAAAGATCATAGCTCATTATGCAAAGTGTTAAAACTGGCACTGCCCACAGCAATTCCAAATTTGCACAAAATACACTGTGACTAAAATGTTTACTTTCTTATTCTGCCACTGATCATGGAATTCTTCCACATGCCATATATGATCCTTGCTCTTTGCTTTATGGAACAAAAAGCAAAAGTCTTTTCTGTGTATTTCAATGTACCCGCACTAACATTATTATTAACTTTATTGTAGTTTTTGATTTAAAAAAAATTGTTTCCTTTGTGATATACTTCTTGCTATGTGGTAAGTGGTATGATACTTTTGGCTTTTAAACTCGATGATTTGGCTACTGATAATTTTCTGTCATTAGCCAGTCTAGGTACTAGCTTTCAAAAATAAATCTGAATCCTGATCTTCACCAGCTGCAGATGCCATAAATTGTTGTAATACAGCCATTATAGTTTCGTATGGGACAACAGGGCTTCCCAAATCCAGGTAATGCAGCAAGAGTGGTCATGAAGAAGGTGGTAAAAGTATTAAGGATAAAACCTCTATTGTGACTGTGGCAAACAAGATTTTTATGTGTAGGATTGTCCATATCCTTTCTGGAGACAGGAGCAACAGATGGGCATTCTGTTTTGGCTGACACTACAACAAATGCAGGAAGATCAATAGCAAGCAATGGCTGTATCTTTTTCAGCTAGTTTAATGAAGCCAGGGTTAGGTCTGTCCACCAGCTCAAGCAGTTAGCTTTGACCAAGAGGAATGATAATTGTTCAGACAACCATGGGCATAGTATTACATGGTAATGATATGTAGATATGATTGAGTTTCTTGTATATACTGGAACAGCCAAGCCTTACTCAAACTTTTTGATTATTAAGCTAGTTAAAGCACACAATTCTGACAGGTTTTGAAAAGCTAACTGCGAGAGGAGAGGCACAACTTAATCTTCATTTTGACAGTGTCATTCACTCATTAAGGTCGCTGTTTCCAGTCTGAGTTTTAGGCATTTGTATCTTAGGGATAAACTTACTTCAGAAGTTCTCATCTAGTTTTGATTGTGGAGTAGGTGAATTGTAGTTCTGTGGAAAGACCATCAAAAACCAACCAGATTTGGCTTGAGAACAGTAGGCTATATCTATACTCCCTTGTTATTAGGATTTATACTGTTTCCTTTCTCTAATAGCTCCTCTCTCATACACCCAATTGCCTCATCCCCCTCACTTTCATGACTCTTTTTGGCCTGACTTATAGACTTTCTTCCTTTCCTTTTCTCAATTTCCCATCCACAGTATCTATTTGGCCAGTTTGGGGATCAGGCTCCTTACCTTCTATTTTGCTCATTCCCTTCTCTTTGCCAGCTTAGCCTGTTCCACTTCTTCTGCTGTATCTGTTCTTACTTTGTTCCCCCTGATGTTGGGACTCATTGGGCTGAGCTCCATTCCTCTTCAATGTACTCCTTCTTGTGTGCATGATATTCATCAGGCTTCATTTCTTCTGGATGTCTTCAGTGGTGTTCATTTTGCCCTGATAACCTAGTCTGAGGTTTTATGGCTTTAGTTTTCATTATCTTCCCAGGTTTTTTTTCTTTTTTGACTTTGCCCTTTTCTCTCATTCCTTGTCTGGATTGGTCTAGCCCTCACCTTCCCATTCCAGGTTCCAGGCTTTCCTCATTTTCTCATCCTTCCTCTACAAATATCTAAT